GGCACCATGATATTTAAACAGGGCAACTGAAAAGGGAGTTTGCCCGACCAATCCAAACCAATTCCAGCAATATTCCAAATTGTCAAGATTTTTGAAAGACATTTTCAATGATAACAAATCAGGCTGGATTTTGATAGAGGAGGATTGAAATCAACAACAAAGAACCAAGGCACCACAAAAAACATCAAAAACCACCCTTTGATGCACACGAAAGGAAGCTCCTCATAGAGTCTGTACAGAGACAAATTGGACCAGCCTTGGTTACTGTCATGTCAACTCACCTATTCTTTTGGGTAAAATGACTCCACAGACTTCTTTGCTCATGTCAAGAACACTTCTGGGCCGAGTTCCTGCAATCATATTAAACGGTACTTGTAGCGCTCATCAAATATTAATTACATATAATTTACTCATACAATACACTTTTAAATGCCTCTCCCCCCATACGTCTCTAAATGACCATGGTCTTTCAAATAAATAATTTGGCATTGGACTCAAGCATTAAGTACAAAGGGGCAGCTGCAAATTAGCTGCAACGCGCAATGATTGATTGTTTGGGGGATTACGCAAATAGCACCACTCGGTTTGCACCCCAACCAGAAAGTAATAAAGTTTTCTGTTCCACAAAGTAAAATATATGATATATGATAAAACACTAACAGTGACCTGCAACAGGATTTAACATACTGTGTGGAATGGAGAAGTGTAACCATTCCACATCTTTTCAACAAAGCTAATAGTGATCCAAGCTTACATCACGGGCATCATTTACTCGGCCTCAAAAAAATAACTGACAACTTGTGCACTGGCGCACACTAACCTCGTACATTACAGCAATAACCGGAATGGAACAATTCAATATTCCGGACCGAAAACAATCAAGCACTATCACTATACCTTGCGATTAATATCGAAAAGCGGCGATGTCCACTCTAAAACTCTGATTAGAATCCTATGGCCAATTAAATGAGTAGGTATTATCGGAATTGAGCAGACGACGCAGATCGTTTACACCGATTTTTACTGTTTATTTACGTTTTTATAAATGCGCGGCAAATGCGGGGTGGGGAGCAGGAGAGGGGTAGGGGACGGCAAATGGGGAGAGCAATAATAGGGACCATCTAGAAAGTACATCCGATTTTTCTAAGATTCGTTCAGCGAAAAAGGGAAGTGAGCGCCTGCGAGCTCAAGGTAGGCCAGCCCGCAGAACACACATGCACTACATACGAGAAGTTGCCTACCCACCAGGCGCTCCGAGAGCTAGCAGCTGCATGCGGTCATGTCGACCGTAGCTACAACTGTTTAGCTACAAACGGGGCGTGTGGCTGGTGGCGTCGGACATCGTATGTTGCCCCACTTGAGTCCACATTTTTGTGTCCATAAACAGGGACGTGTCTACTACCACTTTTGTCGCCGCGACACGAGTTGTCGCTTGGACGCCTGCGAGGTAGGCCACGGCTTCTCTCTAATGCGTCTGTCGTGACGGGGACTTTAGGTTTAGGCTCCTTTTGACCCAAGGCTCACGAATCCTTTCTAAAGCTAAGAAGTGACGTCGTGTCAATCTAGGCGTGGGTCGATGATTGTCGCTGAAAACGCCTGGAGGGTAGACAATGCTTTTCTGAATCGGGCCCCCGCGGCCCCCCTTTCCCTCCAAGCGTTTGGACAGGGCGAGAACTTCGGAGAGGCATTGATATCTTTCGTTTACGCTTTAGTTCTTATCGCTGTTTACTTCTGGTTGATATTCTAGCATTGGCGGAAGTAATGAATTCGTCTATAGATGGTTCAGTTTAAGCTGACTCGGGCACTGTCGGCTGTAGCTATATTGTGTAGCTACAAACAGGGACGTAAATGAACAATGTCAATTACTTTTACAAAAATATATTTATACACATACACTTCAGTATAGCCCTTTTTGAATGTGTCTCTTTGGTTTACGTAAAAAGATTTATAAGAATGGTAATATTACTCTACTCTTACACACTTATAAGAAAGAACTAGAATAATGAGACTTGTGTTCCATTTTTTGTATAATGATAAATACTGCTGGTTTACTTGTGAATACACATTGTGGAAAGTTGAACAAGTTGATAGCTTCATATTAAACAATTGATGTAGCAAGACATGGAACAAGGCACAGAAACAACTTACATTTATAGCTTACGATCGGGAATGAAATAAAATCCTTGGAAGTCCTTGTTTGAATTCCTACGGTGAAATTATGCTACCTTATCACTTTTGACATCAAAAACTATTTCAACATGGACATAAATGTAAATCACAGAGTCCACAATGACTCAGCTTAGGTAACAGATGTTTATTGATAATCATGAATTCTAATCTGACTGAGGCTAAATTTTAGATATATACTTGTTTAGTGTTAAAACGCAAATATAGAGTGTATAAAATCATTTTTGATTAACTAAAGAGTTACTATACATTGAATGACTCCTTGAACAAGGACTAGACATTTTCCATGAGAGACTGACAGCACTGCTATTTCCCCAGATAACATTTTGGCACACCTAACAGTTAAATTACTCTGAAAGCTTGTGGAGGTTTTACATTTGCAATTATAGTATCTTAAGTGCAATGTATTACCATAGAGGTTAAATATTCAGCCTGGTTTAATGAGCAATATTAAATCAGTCATCATCAGGTGATCACATATCTTGCAAGAATTTCTACTTATATACAAATATGATATTATACAATAATACAAATGAGGTGTAGCTCACTCTAATATACACTTTACACATAATTCACAAGAAAACATGGTAAAACATGTTCAAAACCTTTACTTGAACTGGTGCACTTAAGAAGGGAAGAAGTAAAGAAATCACATACCAAAGACAATGGTAACATAGTAAGGAGATATAAAAAAGATCTGACTTAATGGAGATCAAGAATACAGGTATTCATTTAATAGTGAAATACTGCTGTTTGGTCATTTTCATGAAAACTGTGCAATCACTGTGTATAGGTGGGAATAGTTAAAGACAGTTTCTTGCTTCAATTATTACTTTTGTTCATGGAGATGACAGAAAAAATCACATCCGAAAGCAATATCTGAGCTTGTTAAAAGAATGAATAACAAATCCAACATTACTGGCGGTCTATAGTTTGAAAAAACCATTCAGTAAATCTACGAAGCTGTTGCGCAGCTGCTTGGGACTCATCATGCAAACGGCGATTTTCATCACGAAGTCTCCTGACTTCATCTTCCAGAGAGCGACGCAAGTGAGTTTCATGTGATAACCGTGCCTGCAATTGAGTGAGTTGTCTCTCCAGGTCCGAGACACTCCGTATTCCACCACTAAAATAGAAATTATAAAAATATAGACTTTGAAATAGGCAAACAAACTTTTACAATTACTATTTTTAGATTATTTGTTTGATACCTTCTATCCAGGCCCAATCGTTCGGCAACATCTTCGACCCAATTAGCTAGGGGCTCATTGTTTGAAGAACTGTTTCCATCTCCAATCTCCACATTTTCAGCAACATTCAGCATAGCACGTGTTGCAGTGTCAACAAGACTAGGCCAATCCATATCTCTGGTATCAGGAAGGGGCAGTGGTGAAAGAGAGGACAATGATGATTTGCAGCCTCCGTTGTTAGATATTGGTTTTGAAACTCGAGGTGACAACCTACAATAGCAATTGAGTGTTTCAAAATATAGAAGACCATAACAGAAAGGAAAGAGTACTCAGTGAGATTTTCGTAATAATACAAACCTCTCCTCTTTCGTCAGCTTAATTTCACTGGGGGCTGGACTTGAGGCTGTTGAAGCATTTGAAATAACTGTAGCAGGTCGAGCAGTAGTAAGAATAACTTCATTTGGAGGTTCTCCTCCAACAGGTGCGGTTGCAGGAGTTGGTTCCAGCACAGAACTACTTGTTCCACAAAGATTTTCTCGTGATCTTGATTTGGCGTGAGGTAGGTTGTCTGGAGTATTTCCATTGGCGCTCCCAATGCTTCCTAAACTACCAACACTGCCCATACCACTACTACGGATCTTTCCAAGTGATGATGTGTTTTTTTCCTGGTTAACAACATAAAGTTATGGCTTACAGTGTAAAAAAATTGCTATTTCAGTGTTTTAAATTTAAATTAAACTTCTGGAACAATCTAGAACAAATTAGTTAAGAACTTACATGGCTGCTAGTACCGTCTTCATCAGCCATATAATCAGGGTTGATAAGTCTCATGAGATCCTCCTGAAGGGTTGAATTATGTAAGTTGGCACTGTTTCTCTGAGTAGACCGGGGAGTTACTCCTGGCCGAAGACGAGCTTCACCCGCATCACGTGGTCGAGGACTTTGGTTTCGACTGCTATTGGATGGAGTAGGAGTGACCGATGAATTTGACAGTTTACTTGCCCGGCGTATACCCGGTGACATGCTGTTACTACTGGCAGACAAATCGTCTAAAAAAGGAGGAAGAAAAAATAAAAAACCTTATTCCAAGTGAAAACTGTCATAAAAAGAATAAGTTTCTCTTTTTTTTAATAGCTTTTAAAAAAAGATCACCTTCACTGTGAACACCACACAGCCGCTCACTGGTTGAACTTGTGTCTGTTGAGTGACCATCACTTATGACAAGGCCTCGCAGACCAGCACTTGCCACTTCTAAGGGAAGACTAGCAGACTTACTCATATCACTTATGCCCGAATAATCAACCTGCAAGAACACAAAGGTGTTAACGGTAAATACACAAGTTTAGTTGAAATCAGATTTAAGCATGCTGTAAGATATAGATTAAGAGTGACATGGGCATGTGAGCTGCTAGAAAAGTGTACACCAAAACTGCTGTAATACGATAATGCAAAGCCAAGAACTATAATTACATAATAGGTTTTCAAACAGAAAAGTAGGGCACAAACAGGGTGTCTTGTGGTGTTGGGATAAGCAAAGTAAATGCAAGATTAGGCAGTGCATAGTGTTATCAGAAGCAACCAGTGCAGGAATTGTGTTTTAACTTTGAAGCAGTAAGCTTGAGCCTGGGGTTGGGGTTTTATCACCCACCTTGGAGCCTCTGTTCTTGGCATTTTCATGACGGGGGAAAGCATTCCTGTCAACTGATGCGTCACCGCATCGCACCCTGTCCCCAACTTTGAAGGTCTTCGATGGTAATATCGCCAAGGGTTGTGAGTAGTTTGCATGAGGCAATGGCAGCGAGTGGCTGACTTGAACCTGCGAGTTGCAAAGTTTTTCTTTTCTTTTCCATTTTGATTTTCCCATTTCTGTTCTAATTGCTAATCTGGTATTTAAAACTGCTCATTCATATTCAGATATTTTAAAAAAATATCTAATCTGACCAAATAAATCAGTTCTCCCGTCAATTTTAAATTCTAACTTTTTCTCAAGTAGGAGCCCCATCACCAAAGCCAATGTTAACTTGTCACATCTTGCAGAACTTAAGACAGTAAGGTATTTGGAAATTAGTTATTACTATGTTAATCTCGTGACGAAACCAAACACCAAGGGAAGAAATTTAGATAAATCAATCATATGATCTCTGAGCAAAACCAGGTTTTTGGGCCATTTCTTAGCACAGCTTAGGAATCCCTCTGTGAGACAACACCATCCAGCTAGAGTTTCTCCCACCCCTACACACCTTGTTGTGATGAACAGGGCCAGTATTAGCATTAGCCTTCCCCTGCCCATTAGGGGTAACCAGCTGGAAGGCACTTGCACAAGTAGAACCCAGCCTTGCTGGTAAAGGTGGTGGAGATTCACGGGACAGTCTTGGTGGATCTGATGTATCAGATGATTCTAAGAGCTCATACCACCGATCATCAGTATGTCCACCCAAACAATTTGTCAACGCACCCTGAGGGACCAACATTGTAAAATGTGACAGCAGCTCTGGTAGAGGGGTGGGACGTAAATTAAGATAAGAGTAATGTGAATGTGGAATAAGAGAACATACCTCGACTGAGGATGAGAATCTGTCAACTCCTGTAAAAGACTTGCTGCTACTTCCTGTTCCGTATCCTGAACTATTACTAGATCTGGGTGGAGAAAAGCTCCTTTCATATCTGAAGAAAGAGATTACAACAATTAAAGAATAGTTGAAAAAGAGGGCCGCTACAGAATATCGAGATTTACATGAGAAGATGCATACCTTCGGCGGTGGTTGCCTGGGACAACCTGTTGCAGTTGAGCTGATCCTTTGCGAGGACTATTTTTACCATTGTGCAGGCCTCCTGCCACGGGCGAAGCCACAGTTCCTTCTTCATTTCCATTAGCAAGATTTTCATAATCACCCTCATAATTTTCAGCGTTGTATTTACAATTGGGTAAATTGCAACCCCTAAAATAACATAAATACAGTGCAATTTGAAGCCTTTCAATCTCAAACTCAACCAGAGCCACATTATAAAACCAAAACCCACATACCTTCTGGGGGATCCGTCATGAAGAGGAGGAATGACAGTAACTGTGACCAGCACTGATGTTTTGAGTAGATCAACCATTTGATCATGGGACAAGGTTGAAACAGCTACTTTACAAATCTGATGAGTTAATAAGAATTTGAATTTAGAAATAAAGTAAAGAATAGAATCTCATAAAAAACATTCAAAAAATTCAAGTTCTTGTTCTTTACCTCTACTAAACGGGCACCTTGACGAAGGCCAGCTTGCCAAGCTTGACCATGACTTTCAACTTGTGTAACAACACCATCTGGCTGTACATGGAAGCCAAGTTGTCCCATGTTATTCCGCCGTAATGCTAGTTCTTGAGCTACACTTCCTGATGTCACACTTCTTAGTCTAACCATCACCTCAACTAATTCTGTTCCCCCTGACTCCTTCAAATGTAGTCGAGTACATTCCCCTTGATGGTGGTATAATCTCAAGCTGAAAACATTTTGAAAATGAAATATAATTCACATTTGGAGTTAAATTAAATATATACACAGAGAAGAGGAGTAATGATGTATTCACCTATTTCCATTTGCTGCCCATCCTAAAACTGAGGAGCAAGGTGTAACAAAGACTACTTCTCTACTTCTGTCTTCAACTAAAACCACAGAATCTGCAGATATTGCGAGGAAGCAGTCAACAAGAGCTGATTGCCCACTATCTTCTAAAACAACTTGCCAGCAAAGTGCTCCCCGCTGAGTTGCATCAGGTAGAAATCGAGCAGGTCTTGCTGATGCTCTATCCTTATCTTTGCTTTTTTTACTGCTAAATGAAAGCATGGCTTTAAATAGGAGAGAAAAGAATCATTGGTTATTATAAGTAATAATGATGCTGAACAATTAATGATACATCAAAATTTCTAGCTTTTGAGTACATACAGAACTTTTGTCCAGTTTTAACTAATGTGGTAACAGTATAATTATTGGCAAGATCCTTCAGGTACTCCTGCCTTGTCCGAGTTGCCATTGTTGCAAACTTTTCAGAACGATGAGCAGCATTCTCTGCATTGATAACTGGCAAACAGAACAACAATATTTTTAACTTCAAAATATTTGAATTTAAAGCTTAACTCAAAAATCAATATTACAAATACCTTTAGCTAAAAGAAAATCAGAAAATGCTTTTCCTTTCCTAAATGTAGCTCCATCTTTAATAGGTGGACCAAAAATTGGAACTTCTTTTGATCTACTTACAGCCACACTACAGCATAAAATTCAAAATAATTTGATTAGTCTTTCAATCATTGAATATGAAAACACAGTCAATCAACAATAAAACCTTTACCTGTACTGAGTGTTGTCAGAACAAGGGTTATTTGCTCGCACGACGATAAAAACATGTTGAAATTGAGAACGAATATTCTTTGGTGTAAAAGGTTGAGCACCAGGCTCTTGAAATACTATAGTTACTATGTCATTACCAATATGGCGCTTTCTTAGAAGCTGTAACAATGTGGAATTAAAAGTGTAAAGCAGAACTAGCAAGGTATAAAAACTATACATGTAATAAATACACAGTAAAACCCACTTCCATTAAATCTTTTGACCCTGTGCAAATTTACTGTTTAAGTGGTCTTTTAGTGTACTTAAGATTGATGTTACCAACCTGTTGTCTATTATTAGGTGTAAAAGGAAGCATTGTTGAAACATGAAACATTATTTCACAATCTTGATACTGGGCATAAACAGAGTAAAGTCCTGTAGAATCAGCTGCAAAAAGAAACAAAATAATGTCGCTGACAATAGTTCCAGAAAATTCATTGAAAGAAAGCATAAAAGTATACTCACTCTTATTGTCAAGTCCTGCTTTGTATTTATCAAACCCTTTCAGGCGAACACGTTGTCCAATTGTTTCTAAAAATTCTTGGAAAGCTGGCCCAGCATCCTCATTGTTGTACATCTCTTCTTCAGTGCCCTGGCTAGCTCGACAATACATAATACCTACTTTGTAATGGTTTGATAACCCTTGTTCATCTAATTTCAATAACTGCTCTTCTGTCTGAGGTGATGCAACACCCAGTCTTAAACTGAAGAGTAAAAAACATATCAAGTAATATTAAAAAAAAACACACAAAAAAACAGCAACAAAAAAAAAACTACTACTAGCAACAGGTTTTTTCTGATATAAAAATTGACACTGACCATGGCAAGTTTAATTCGGGTGCAACATATTCTAGAACCTCTTTAGTGTTCATCATAGCTTTATTATTATCTTTATTTGTATTATTATTGTTATTGTTGTTACTGGTAGTCTTGAGGTTTGGAATGGCATCCTCCAAAACTGAACCTCTTAAAGTTAGCAGCTAGAACAGATAAATTACACTACATTATTTTAATTTTCATACCTCAAGCATTTGTTACACAATCAAATATTCATGAATCACTCACCTCACTAGTGCGTATAAGCACTCTATATTGATACACCGGTTGGGGTGGCGCACCACCACTTGAGTCTGAAGATAACTTCCCAGGGCGTTCCACTACTTCCCTCTTGATACTGGCAGCAACTGGACCAAGTGTGTCATCCATGCCAAACCAATTTTGGTGCTCTGGAACAGATAACAACACAAATAAAATAATTACACCAACGATAACGATATAACAGTAAATCTGGGCTTAGACCACACAGTCGACAGACACACCCTCCCAAGACAGAGTGCGACTAACCTTGGCCATAGAAAAACTGCCTGTAGTACAATGCGCCCTGGTCCACGCTCTCGATGGCGGCGTGCGGGGGCGGCCGCTGGTAGGGACAACAGCCCATGCCGGGCTTCCAGTGGGTCTCTCCGGGGGGGAACTCGAGCACCGACACCCCGCACGCGAGCGCGGGCCTGTGCAGGGGCGCGGGGGCGGACCCGGGGGCGGAGGTGGAGCCCGGGGTGGGGGCGGCGCCGACGGGGATGCAGCGGGTCAGCGACACGACGCGCTCGCCCTCGCCACCCACCTCGTTGCGAAAGAAGGGGCAGTTCTCCAGCAGGTGGTTGGCGTTGCCATCGCCGAGGTCCTCGTCGCCTGAGTCCACGCCAGACGTTGTCGTGTCGGGCGTGGTGGAGCGCGGAGCACCGAGCATGGAGGCGGCCGAGGCTCCCGTCGTGGTGTTCCTGCGTCGCGCCAGCAGCAGTCCCCGCAGCCTGGCCGCGTAGCTGAGGTTGGCCGTGATGCTTTGCACGTCGTAGTGCGCGAAAGCGGCGCAGCGCCGCCGGCTCTCCCTGTCCGCGTCGCCCGCCACGGCCACGGCGACGGCCGCCGCGCCCCAGGTCGAGACCGCCGAGTCCTCGGCCGCCACGTTCGCGCCGCTGCTGCTCCGGCTCGGCTTGCCCTGGGCCGCGCCGTTGGCACCGGCGGGGCCCGCGGCCGGCGCGGACGACGGAGGCGGCGCGCTCCCGGAGGACACCGCGGGAGCCACGGCGCCGTTGGTCTGCGCCCCGCTGGCGCCACTGGCGCCACCGCCGCCCCAAAAGCGGTGCAGCTTGAGGCGAAGCTTGGGGCTCGTGTTGGTGGCGCTGTTGTTCCTACACAGAAGAGCGGGGACAATAAGGGGTTAGACGACGACAGTTACTCGCGACGGGCTCAGTCCACCGCCTTGCGCTTGCGCCCCTCGTGATGGCCCTATCCGGCAGCGGCTAGAAGGCGGAGTGCCACTGATCGCGGGGGGATCTGACACTTACCTGTCCGAACACGGCGAGTGCGCGTCCTCCACCGACATGGGGCCGTCGGGCATCGAGTGCCCGGCCGAGCCGCCGTGGTGTCCGCCGTGGTGCCCACCGTTGAGCGCGCCGTTGTGCGATCCGTTGTGCCCGCCGTTGAGCGCGCCGTTGTGGGGCGCGTGGCCGTGGCCCGACACGGGGGAGCGGCCGTGGCCGTCGAGGACAGCCGGCCGGTAGTCCTTGAGCATGGCGAAGAAGCTCTCGCTGGTGGACAGGTTGTTCTGCGACAGCGGGCACGGCCCGGACGCGATCACGTCGATGGAGCCGTGGCTGCCATACTCGCGCCGCAGCACGCCGCCGCCGGAGCCTGCAGGGGAACACGGAGGAGGAGGCCGTTAGGAGGAGCAGGAGGGCGACGAACAGGGCCCCGGGGGGTTAACGCCCGCGCCAGGAGCGACCCGGCCATACCCCAAGCTACAGTGGCTCTCAAATTGCCGGCTACATTCACCCCGTCATTACGGAGCACGCCGGCGCGCGGCGGAGCGGAGCCCTGGCGTAGCTAGCCGGGCCCCGAGACTCACCCGGGTGGTGCTGGTGGAGGTGGCCGTGCTCGGGCGCCAGCTCGAGGCTCGAGTTGCTCCGGTAGAGGGCCTCATTGGTGTGCAGGGGTCGCGGCTGCTGGTGGCCCTGGTGGCCCGGGTGGCCCGGGTGCGGGGCGGGCGCGAGCTGACCCGCCCGGCCGGGCCCCACCAGCCCCGCGCCCGCGCGCGCACGCAGCACCGAGCTGTTGTAGTACTCGACGGCCTGCATGGCCCGCTCGCGCGAGCTGCGCCCCACCGGCTGCAACAGCAAAGACAATACGCATTATAAGACTTCCACGCTGTGATCGCGACTCTTGCTGGCTCGGAGGTATGGCATTAGCAGACGAAACAAACACGGGGCATGCACAACAACACACAAGCACACTCACACACACACGACGCACGCAGCGACAATGATTTCTGCCTTCAGACATGCAAGGCTTCAATGGGAGTGCGGGAGTCCTTGGGAGTACGAAAACGTGCGAAACACACACACACAGCGCCGGCGCACACGTGGGCAGACATTGATTGGCTGCTGCACCTGGCGCCGCATGGTCCCGTGACGCGACGCACCGCGAGCGCGCCAGGTTCGATCGTTACTGCTTTACGTCGCCGAGGCGTTCGCACGCGCCGTGTAGGAATCTCTCACACTTCATCTCTTTGCGGGATGGGTGCGCCCGCCCGCGCGTAGCGTGGGCGGCACACGCCATACGCGCACGTCGGTACTGAACAACAGCGGCGGCGATTGTTTTTGGCGCTGAAGCAGCGCAAAAGACAAACGTTTTTTCAGTAAAAGAAAATAGTGAATGCTGATGATCTCCCCTTCTTCCCCGCCCGTCCATTTCCCCCCAGAACCTCCCCACAATTGGTTCGGCCTTCGCGTCCTCGCCAATGTGCTGATGAGTCTCCCACGGCTTCACTGACGGACTCCCAACTCCCACATCACCCAACAAACGGATGGACGGGGCGAGCGGGCCCCGCCCGTCGCCTCGTCCTCGAACCGAAGTAGGTTACGTGTACTACGAACCAAACTGTACTACACCGAGGAAGGGGAGGAAAGGCAGCTGCCGCACAAGGCGCGCTCTGCCCCACATTTGGAAGAGTATCATTTCATTACAGCCGCCTGTAGTAGTCATAATATTTTTATCATAATGAAAAGAGTTCCTAATATCCCTGCCCCCCCCCCCTCCCCATCCTTGCCTAACGCTACGCTACTCTCCCCCATCCTCTCGACGGCGTGCTCTCGGCACATGCGGGCATTCAAGTCCCCGGAGCTGCTGGGCTGACGCTGCTGGGGGCGAGGCGGAGTGGGGCGGGGCGGAGCGGGGCGGCGAGCCTCCGCCTCCGTCCTGCAGGCAGGAGCGAACCGTACGACACCATCTGCGCCCTGCAGGACCAGGAGGACCTCGCGCCGGAGACCTTTGTACACAATGAGAATGGTGTGACCAGATGCCGAGCCCGCCGCCGCGCACCTCTCCAACCTCTACGAGTGAGCCCGGGAGGGGAAAAAAACGCCCAGAGCAAAGAAAAGGAGAGACTCTTGGTTTCCCCACGGCACGGCGTCGCGGGTCATGGTTTCACGTATACGATCCAATCTCGGATGCGGGCGGAAGAGACGGCGCGACGGACGAATGCGCGTCGCTGCTGGAGAAAACGGAAGGTAGAAAAGAATAAATGTGCGAACCGGCGGCCGCGGCTGCTCAGAAAAGTGACTACGGCCAGCAGGAGGAAAAGCGTCGGGAGCTTGGAGTCGTCGGCGGGCAGGCGGGCGAAGGAGAGAAGCGAGGGTTCCCAGCAGACAGGATCCTTCTGCTGCAGCGAACAATACAACATGCTGCCTCCAAATGTTGACCTCCTCCTACTCCTCCTCCTCCTCGGTCTCGGTCCACTCCGCGCGTGCGACAGGGACAGGCGAACTGTCCTGCCCGCTCCGCACCATGGGTGCGACAAAGATGGAAATAAGGGCGGTGCCGGGAACCGGGGCGTGCCTGCTCCACCAACCCCTAGGCTTATGAGGGTCTCTACCCGCCCCTCGACCCGCCCCCAGCCTCGGCGGCATAAGGATGCAGGCCATGCAGTCGGGCTACTGGGACAAAAATGTTCGAGGACGGAGAGAGAAATGTAGAGACGCGCCACATATAATGTACCGACAGGGGAAAAGGCTGGGGCACAAAAATTCAAGCGCGGTCTAATTTCATAAACACAGCTGGTGTGCAATGACATTGAATCGAACTCTACGTGAGTAACTCCAATTACTGCTTCATTCAATCGCCCTTTCAGTCGACTCATCATTCAATCGCGCATTCTTTGTAACAAAGCTTCACTTTCTCAGTCATTCAAACAGCCTATGAAACACTAATTACGGAATCTACAAGGCCCCTCTCGTCACTAACATCACGCGTTCTAGTATGAAGTTATTTCTTCATTCATCCATTCGCTCACCTGGTATAGCCATGCGTTCGTTCATTCGTGCTATCCGTTCACTCGTTCGTTCATTCATTCACTCACTCACTTATTCACGCACGCACTCGCTCGCTCACTCTACATACGCTCATTGCTCCGGTCTGTCAACCCAACGGCAACGGAGGAGTCCAGGCGGGGAGGCCGCGCGGGTCGGTGACACTCACCTGAAGCACAGAGAGGAAACAAACACCACGATTAGATTCTCACACGGCACATGTTTCCCAACGAAAGGACACAAGTACAGTACAGTAATGTAAATTCGACATTTCGGGGCATTTCGGCCGCCGCCGCAACTCTCCAACAAATATACATACATCTAACTACTCCACAATAAGCATGAACAAAACTACAGATATATAATAGTAGTCCGATAGCCATCACCGTTCTCAGAATCCTCAACCAGTACGTAGGTCGCCCGCCCCGCCCCGCCCCACCCCGGCACGGTGGCCGGCCCCACAACTCTTCACCCGCTGACGTACGTTTGAACATATAACTTGTGTGCCGGACCACACGCGGGCCCCGCCTGGACCACAGCCGGCGGCAGCGTAGCGTGGCCATAGCAGCCCGGCCAGCCCCGCAGCGGCCGTGTGCCCCGGGGCCCTTTGGCCCGGCCGGCGCACCGCCGCCGCCCAGGGCCCCCGAGCAGGGCCCCCGCGTGGTGCAGCACACTTGCCTCCGCAGCGGGGAGGCCAGGGAGGCCGGCCGGCCGGGCAGCAGCCACCGTAACTGACGCAGCCAACTCGAACACTTACGGCGGTTTTGGCCACCACCGCCGCCGCGCTCCAAACGAAAAGGTCGAGTGGCGCGGAGGATGAAGAAGGCTCGGATGGGGGCCGGCCGACTAAATAACTGTGCGACAGCGTGTAATAAACGGGGTAATAAACACGTATGAGCGCGCGGCGGAGAGGGGGGGGGGAGGAGGGAGGACCACGACGACGAGGATGTGCCGCGAGCGCGCCCCGCACCAATCAATAACTAGCCGGACCTCCGCGCCATTCACAAAGCGCAACGTCCGCCCCGCGCCCCGCCGCGCCCCCGCTCAATGGAGGCCAATGAGCCCGTTACGGTACGCAGCAGGCACACCGCACCACACCCTTTCCCGCCGCCGCCGCCTGTGTGCCCGCGGAGGACGCACGACGGGCTCACACACACAGCCGGACGGACAAGAGCTGGGGGGAGAGGTGGAAAGAGAGAGAGAGAGAGAGACGGACGCACGATTTCGAGCTTACTTGACCGACCCCCGTGATTAAAAACAAGGAGGCAACCCCCCAGGCGATGATAAAATGCGATAGGGCCCGGAGCAGAGTGGAGTGGTCCTCCCTGGTCCCGAACTGGTCTCGGCCGTCGAGTAGCTTTACGGACGAGCCCCGGGCGCCAATGTACACCCGCGCCCCGCGCCCCAGCCTGGCAGCAGCTTTACTCCCGCGCCCCAGTCAGTCTAGCAGCAGCTTCGCGCCCCATGCCCCAGTCAGTCTGGCGCCAGCTTTCCGCCCGTGCCCCAGTCCAGTCTGGTACGGTCTAGCAGCAGCTTTACGCCCGTGCCCCAGTCCGTCTGAGCTGTACGCCCGCACCCCAGTCAGTCTGGCAGCAGCTTTACGTCCGCACCCCAGTCAGTCTGGCAGCAGCTTTACGCCCGCACCCCCGTCCGTCTGACAGCAGCTTTACGCCCGCACCCCAGTCAGTCTGGCAGCCGTTGCCCCAGTCTGGCAGCGGCTTTACGGACGAGCCCCGGGCGCCACTTTACGCCACCCCCCTTCCCTCCCCAGCCGTATTATTGTTTTATTGCATCGCCTCTGATGAATGAGGGTGATGGTTCGTTGGCCCCAACAGGACGCAATCGTCCGCACCGCCCCCGCCACGCCACGCCCTGCAAGTCTCTATCCTGCCCCACTCTGCAATCGGCCTTCGCCCAGGGCTCTCTATCCTCCTCATGACCATGTCCAACACTATCACTCCCCTCTCTCTCTCTTGCTCCCGGACGAGATGATGGACAACACCGTACCCCCTCCACTCCCCTCTCAGACGGCTCCAACACAACACGATACATCACGCGTGTCTGACCTGCGGGTTCGAACACTGGCGACCTCCATACTTTTTACTTCGTTTCTCCTCCCCTTTTCGTGACGACTGATCGGAAGCAAAGGGATGACGCAACAAACCCACGAGCGGCGGCGAATGTACGAGAGCAAGAGAGGGAGAGAGAAGAGCAAGCACTAGAAGAAAAGAGCGGTGGCAGGGGAGGGGGTAAGCTAAGCAGGCCGCAGCAGCGCGAAGCCATGCAGCTGCAGGTGCCTCCCCTCTCCCCCGCCCTCCACGCACCGCCGAGCCGCCGCGCCTCGCTGCGATGCGCCGCACAACACAGCTGCAGGTGCCCAGCTGCGCGCGGCAGCCGCGCCTCACCGCCCGGGGCTACGAGTCGTGGAGGCTCGGCCTTGGAGGAGCGCGCGTCACGGAACGGCGACGGGGCAAAAAACAACAGAAATGGAGAAAAAGTAAAAGATAATCATTGAGGGTAGACTAATACTACTACTACTGACGGGAATCGTGTGAAATGGAAGGGGCGGGGCGCAGAGCGGACGACAAAATCACACTGTCAAGTGTAAAGAAAATTTTCATTAAAAACCATAACAATTTTAAATCTTTTACTAAGTTTTCATCAAATGAAAGAGGAGTTTTGGGGGCTACAAACTTTCCTCAAACGATCCTCGGCATTTTGTTTTATTTTTTTCCTGTTAGAAGTCGGAAGGAAATACGACCGCACGACAACGGCCGGCCGGCCGCTCGCCGGGCGTCCTCCTCTCTATACTCGATTTCCATCGGCCGACCCTGTGTACTGTAATTAATTGAAATAGGCTGCGCGGCTGACACGCGCGCGCCGAGCGGCGGCCGCGGCGGGGGGCAGAGGACGGGCAGTACGGCGGGACGGGACGGGACGGGGCCCCACCGCCGCGGCCCCCAGCCCGGCCCGCGCCTCGACATGTGCCCCGAGCCACAGAGCTCCGAGCGCGCTGTGCGGGAGGCTAGCAGATGCACTCCCCGCCCCCTTCTTCTTTTCCACACCCCGGCAAACCCCACACGAAGATGTGTGTGAGTGTGAGTGGTTTGATTAGAGAAGCAGCCATGCGAAGAAGCAGCGCCGCTTTTTATTATTCCAAATTAGCGATAGATCATTCTTGATTATTCCTTCTCGGCGGGTCGCGATACTACACAGCGAGATGCGTTACACATACACCGAGCGGAACTGCTCTGCACAGAGCGTTCGAAAAGTGGCGCGGATGAGGAGGGGCGTGGCGTGGCGCAGAGTCCTTACCGACATTAGCATGCAAATTGACACCGCCACACACACACACACACAACCTTCCGCGGCCGCGATGCCGAAGCAGCGCCGCGCCGCCCCGTATTATCGAGCGGCTTTCATCTCGAGCATCACCTTTGGTTCACCGTGTCCTCCCTCCGCCACGCGCGCGCTCCGCCTAGATCACCGTCATCACCACCATGGCGCTGCCCTAGCTCGCCTCTCGCGGCTGCTTTTGACGCGCCGCCCCGTCACGTATACTCCACGCGGTGCAGCGCGGGACACACACATGTGATCGCCCTTTTATTGTCACCGCGCCGAGCATAGCGCCCATAAAGGGGATCGCTCGCGCAAAACACGTGTGACGAACACGTGACGGGGCCGCGAGCCTCTCACTTATTGAAGGTGTGTGTGTGACGAAAATACAGCGGGAAAAATAAGAATTAGAAATATAGGCCCGCCCAAGAATGTTAGACGGCGCGAATCAAATTAACCACCTTGGTGGTTTGGTGGTGTACGATCGCGATCGCCCAAAATCCGAGAAATAAAAGAAGAAGAAGTCACGATTTTGTCGTCACGCGATCTGCCGAGAGACCCTTTCGGGTAAAACCATAAACCACCGAAAATAATAAAATCACGACGTTTGTACATAGCCGGATGGCATAGCGGCCGGGCCGGGGCGAGCTTTGCGCAAAGTCCCACCACAAAAGCTATTCCTGCCTATTCCTCGGCTTGCCACCGCTTTCTCGATGCGACAGCAAATTAGCGTCAACATCCTCTTTCCCCGCGGCCTGCCCGCGTCCTGCCCCGGGCCTGGCCGGATAAGTTGCAGGCAAATTGCAGCGAGAAAGAGTGAGAGAGAGGAAAAGGGAGAGACGGAAAAAGAGTGAGACGCAGCCGCGACCCGCGCCACCGCCTCCTTTTTATTGTGAGTTAGCGACTCGAATCTCACTTTCAGATCAAAAGAGAATGATGACGTGCTGCTGAGCTGTTTTTAAAATGAGCGCGCTCCTGCCTCGCCTCACCTCGGCCCAAAACGACTTACGGGAGGCAAAAAGTCGGAAAAAGTGGTGGAAAAGGGAGAAAAACAAGGTCCAGCTCCGCAATAATAATACTACTATAACACTACTGCTAATGAATTCAGAGCAACATACCATACACCACAAGCACAAGAACCCCCTCCACAAACTAAAAGTGTAGAACTACTACGGCGCTGGAAAGAATACCTGCGCAAAGCCAACATCTACCCGGCATACTCTACCTCTACCCGGGATACTCAAAAGTCTCGTGTTACCTGGATGCACGCATAAAGGGTGTCCATAATCTTCCCTGGCCGCGGACGAACTTACCTGGAACAATGGGATAAACAGAGCATGAGCAACACTTTTCCTACACTCGTTAAACTAACAACTCGTCCAGGCGCGTTCCGCCGTGGTCCGACCGCCCTAGACACACCGCACCAACTGCTTGCTCCAGGAGCGTTTTGTTGCATTCAAATCCGAAACGGAGAGAACAACGAGCGTCTCATAGACGCCTCTTTCTGTTTTTAACAAGACCAACCACTTTTGTTTCTGATTCTTTAACGCTTTTAAAATTCCACGTGTGGGGCTTTAAAGAGCTTGCAGGGTAGTAGGAAGCAGACGCGTTTCTCACGCTCACGACAGAAAACGAACTTTGCACATGGCCTCAAATGAAGCTTCGCGATCGTATACTGTACACGGCTCTACTACATCACCACCATACCATTACTCATGGCACTTTTCATCAGGCCGAGAACAGGTGGCACTAATAGCCGACTGCCGACATTCTTTTTTACCCATTTAGAATCCTCTGATTTGATTTGATGCCATGGGAGGGATCTATGAATAATAAATTCAGCAAAAACCGTGTTCGCTTGTTTCTGTTTTTCTTTTCCTTTCCGTGTTTTATAGAGTAGTAAGAAGGCTGAGCGAAGATCTCGCGGGAGCTCCGCGGAGCGCCGCCAAACCGCAATCAAATGTTTCACAATCAATGCGGCTGTCAACTGCTTCTTGGGAGCTCCGGGGATTGGCAACACTGCGCGATTATGTACTACAGCCGAGTGGGAGTGGCGCGCGGCGACCTCGGCCAGGGCCTTCTTAATCACTTTCAGCATTTCTCATCACCGCGAATACGGGAGCCGCGCCGCGGGAAAACGGGAGGACGATCGGGTCGACCGCAATCGACTTATTTGTAGGAGGGCGATATAACGCGTCATCGTCGAGCGAGAAGGAACCTCGCGTCCGCGCGGCGCGCCCCGAGTCGCCCGTCCATGACGGGGAGGAAATGGGAGGAAGTGTCGGACAGCGCTCCGCACGACGGCGGCGGCGACGGCCGAGGAAGGGCACTCGTTGGAGGAGAAAAGAGGATTCACAGCTGAGGAGCGCCTATGCTCGGGGCTTCCGCTGCGCAACACTTGCAGGACTTGGCTGCAGCGCACAGAGAGGAAACAAACAAGAGGGAAATATAATGAGAACAAGATTGCGAACATTATATTAAAACGACATTTTCGGTGCACAGCCAGAACCATAAAACAAGCGAACAGTTTGGACTCTACGTCGGCTCACGTGACCACTGCACAAAAAAATAATAATTTAAAAAAATGTTCACTTTTTCAGATAAAAATGCAGCACCGCACCTAATTTATCTCTCGTTTTTTACCCCCAGGATCTCCGTCCGGCCGAGGAGGAGGAGACGTTGGGTTTCTTTTTCCGCGAGCGACGACGACGACGACGACGACGCGGCGACTCGAGTCGCGTACGCGCGCTGCACACGAGTGAGAGAAATGAAGACCTCGCGGAGAGCAGCAGGACGGAGGACGCGAGGAGAGAAAGGGACAGATGAAAAGATCCGCGCGCGGCTCAGATAGGCCCTATCGGAGCCGAGCCATCTCCGGCCGCTCGTCATGCCGGTCATGCACGGCCCTCGAGAAGGTGAGGAGGCCGGCCGGGGCGAGGGCGCCAACCCCTGCAGCAGCAGCAACAGCAGCTCCACAGCGACTCCCGCGCTGACCACTGAGGTAAAACATGCCTGCCACCATCATGCCCCCCCCCCCACACACACACACAAATCCACCAGGGCCGTACTGGATGGTTACTGTGTTGGCGCAAATGGTTACAAACGTACACTCGGGTGTGGGTGGGTTTGCCTTTTTTATGGCTGCTAATGGACCCGTGTGAATAGGCAACCCGCCCGCAAGGCCGCATGAGGCTATAGTATTTATCGCATTCACTCGCTCCAAAACTAGGCATGGCGACCATAACCTCTGCACATATAGTGCAGAGGGTTAAAAGGGGAACGTAAAGAAACGCAACTACGAAATAGGATAGGCGTGTGGTTAGGTGTGGCTGGGCGCCCTCCACTCATCACACACACACACGCAGCCTTGGACGTGAGCGATACACGGAGACTGCGAGCGGACGGACGGCGGCAGGGAGGCGGTGGTCGGTGAAGGCTCAGCAGCAGCAGCAGCAGCAGCAGCAAAAGATAGCCATCTCCCTATTACCGATACCGAGCGGTTCTCTCGTTGCGTTGGGCAACGCGCTGCTGGCCCCGGGCCGCCGGACACCACCGCCGGACACCAAACCCACTAGCTGCTCACTTCCACTCGGGAGAGGTGTCGGTCCGATCTGATACGAGCGAGACGAGTCAGTCAGCGCGGCCCGGGCGCGACGCGCCATAGAGGCGCCCCGTCGCTTGATTGGAATTTATAGATTTGATCATCACGACCA